TAACAAAAAATATTGAATACGTATTTTTCCAATAAGTAAAAAGTTAAATTATTCTTTATTTTAAATTTGAACAATATTGTAAGAAGGTTATATTATTTGAATTGTCAATATTTTATTAAACTCTTCACAAATTAATTCAAGCTGTTTTAGGAATATACATCTAGAAACATTTTACAAATACATTCATAATCCTTTTATTAAATCTATCACCCTTGACACCCTATATAAATATCTAATTTTATTTGTGTATATATATTTTATATTTTTAATTATATTTTTATTGTGACAAGTAAGATAAAAATGTGTATAAATATAAATTAGAGATAAAACACAAATATGGTTATTACGAGCAGTCATGTGAAAAATACGATTATAGTATACTAAATTATCATTATGTTTTAATTATTATCGCTAACATAAAATATTCTTTTAATTTTTATTGCTAAAATAGATTGTAATTATTGTGTCATGTAGTTTTTGATAGTGTAGACAATTTATAATGTTTTTCAAAGCATATTTATAAAATAATTATAGCAATTTAATAAGTTATCATTATTTTTTTTATTACTAACATAAAATAAATAGTAATATTTTATCACAAAGAGATAATTGACAACAAATTTGGACTTGATAGCAATTTAAAAAACTTCAGACGCATTTCTTTGCGTCAAACGCAAATATGTTTAGTTGAGGAGAGAGAAACCCAAAATCACAAATTGGATTTTCCGATCCATTTGCAGTTCGATTGGGCTGAATTTATCTCATTTTATACGTTTTGCGTGTCGGTTGGATTAGTTATAAAGAATTAAATTGTTCCATACAAAAATTTGTGAAGTACCAAATTATGGATGAATAGTTCTCTTCTACGGTCATGGTAAGATAGACTTTCAATTTCATTTTGTTAAATGCATATGGTATAATGCAACATGATTTTTGGGTGGAATGGTTTAATATTCTTTTTTTTTTAAAGGGGATCAATACTGGTTTTCCAATTCTCCCGGTGACTCGAATTCGGGACATGGTACACGCCGAGCGAAGGTACGCGCCACTGCGCTAACCCCTCTTCGTCGGAATGGTTTAATATTCAAGTGAAGTGTCTTGTTTACCTCTTATGTCACTTGAGAATCTGAGATTCCTAGAAAAACTCAAGTTGGTCCCCACATATGGATATTAGGACAAATCCGAAAAACAAATAGAGAGGAAAATGTTTAAGTCATGTGAGCAGCCTCTAGTTTACATGCTTCTTGGTCCAAGTTGTGGTCCTAATGATGTGTTAGCTTCTATGTATATATGTGGGCAAGGCTTTCATTAATCTGATTAGCAGATAATGAAAAGGGTTCTTTGTCGATGACCAATCGCCAAACGATCCTTAATCGCGAGATTAAAAAAAAAGTGACGATTAAATAGGAGACCGAATTGATTAGAGTTGGTGAAAGACAAAGTGTGGTATGAAATAACAGAAAAATATAGAAATACACTATTTCGTCTATCTACCGAGAGATCAACAAGGAGAAGGGCTTTTCGAAAAAGTGACTATAATTGAGCGATCGACAGATTGTCTTTTCATTGTTGGGCCGATCATGTGGAGATCCGCTGGTTTTCTTGGGCTTTTCCTTAGACATAAGATGCTTAGGTGATAATGGGCCATCTTTCTATCTTAATCATATGGGCTTTCTGATGATGCTTTTATAACATGAACAACATTCTGTATATAGTTATATGATTTATATAAAATAATTAATTTTATAGTTATCTATCCCAAAAGGCTCCTATATTAAGTGTTTTTCAAATTAAGTTCTTTTTTTTATATAAAAAGTTACTAGTACAATACCCGTGTATTATACGGGCTTGTTAAAAAATTATTCTTAAATTTTAAAATTAATGAGAAAATTATATTAAATTTAATTTACTTTTTTACAAAAAAAAAAATATATTACTATATATTTTAGAATGATATGTGTTACTTATGACTTACATGTGTTATATTATATTATAACTTATATCATATATCTACTTGAAATATAAATATATTAGTTGATAAATAATTTTATTTTTCTAATTAATATTAAATATAATTTTATTATTGTTATAAAGATAAATATAAATTATTTTTTTATACATACAATATGGATGTTAATCGAAGCTTATCAAAATAAGATTAATTTGATATATTACATATGTAAAACTGATAAAAAATACAAAAGTTATTAACTTTTAAAATATATATACAATTCAATAGTTATAATAAGGAATGATATTAAAATACAATTAATACATGTAACGTGACCATAAATAATCAACATATTTATGGTAATCCGAACCTAATTATTTTTGGTTTGAAATTAAATTAAAATTTACCCAAGCCTAATAACGAAGCATGTAATTTTGCCACATAGGATTCCGAAGCACCATAAGCAGTCACGTAGGCTCAGTGCTAAGGGGATATAAGGGGATTTCAAACCGTTAATTATGAGACAATTACATTAAAGGTTCTGATAGATCAAACCATAATTTTTGAATAACTTGTCGTAAGATTGTCGTTAAGCTGCTTCACAATTAGACAATTTGTTAGGCAAACTTCACAACCATGTCTTGTTAGCATATATGTATAATTTTAAATTAAATCTCATATCTAAAAAAAGAAAAAAAAAAATTATAATACTTCATAATATAAATATATTCTGTCATTTATTAAAAAAGAAAGTAGTTCCTAACAATCAGCTCCCCTGCAATTTATTTTATTGTAATTTGTCATAGGTCTTTATAAATACGTGTTTATGTTAATTAATTTTAAATTTTTAATTGACCATTTCAATTGTTGATCATAACGGATTTGCAGATTAAAGAAGTCGGATTTGCTAGAAACTTGTGGAGGATAAGACCTTTTTATTAGCTTTTTGCTTAGAATTGGTTAATGAGAGGGGACTTTCTACCTATAATATATAATTAAATTATACAAAAATTATATGGAGTCGGATGGTTTTCTTATAGAGTCATTCATGATTTAGTGTATTGACACTTGTCCAAAGTGCATTTATTGTAGGACATGTGTCAATACATTATTTGTGAATAACTGTGGATGACTTCATAAGCCGAGCCATTTGATGGCTCCATAGCAAAACTGTTAAATTATAATACTTTTTTTTCTCTTTCTATATTGATATATTTATTAATTAATAATGTGACATTATTATGCAATCTTATTAGTAATTATACCCACATAATAAAATAAAGATTTTAAACCATAAATTAATTAGAAAAAAAAGGGCAAATGACTTTGCTATGTAACATCATACATGTCTACATACATTGTACTCCTAAAAATTGTTCTTTTAGTCCCTATTGATTGAACGATTGTAGCATTTATAATCTCAAGATTTCAACTTTTTGTCTTTTGTCCTATAGTTTAGTATTTTGTTGTAATTTCAGTCATTTGGGACTGAAATTGCAACAAAATTTAAAACTACATGGCTGAAATTGTAACAAAATTTAAAATTACAGAATTTAAATTGTTATCGTCCAAAAGATTTTTTATTAGCATTGAAGACCTGTAATTTTAAATTTTGTTGCATTTTCAGTCTCAAATGATTGAAATTGCATTGAACTTTAAAGTCATAGAACCAAATAACAAAAATGTTCAAATCTTAGGACTAAAAACGCCACTGATCAAATCAATAGAACTAAAATTGCAATTTTGTCTATACTACCGACCTTAAAAAATTGATATATCTACTAATAATTAATTACTAGTACTAATACCATGTACAATACGGGTGTTGAGTTAATGAATATATGTGTAAAGTTATTTATGTCTAATACCAACCTAACTTCAGAGCAAAAAAAAAACATAAAATCAACATCACGAAGCATCGATTTTCGCAATGTCAGCATCGGAAGCGTGAGAATCTGTCACTTAGACTCAACACATTTTGAATTAATAAAGAGGAAAGGATATTAACCAACTTTATTTGTTTTATTTATTTAATTTAAGATTTAATAAAACTTATCGTTTTCGGCCCACATTCAATCCCTTCTTTTTCTTCGTTTTGGAGTCGGATTAGGAAGCCAACACACACACACACACACACACACACACACACGCACAGTAAAATCAAACTCTAACAATATCGGCTACTTGGGCTTTCCTGCCTGCAAGGTTCTCTCTTTCTATACAAGCAATAAATAAATACTAAAAAAATATATATACTGAAACTTGAGAGTATAAAACACAGAGAAAAAAAAAAAGAGAAGAGTATATTATATTCAATCAATCATTCATCGACCAAGAACACTCCACGCCATTGTTAAAGGTGTATTACACGCAGAGAAAAAAAAAGCACATGAATATCACATGGGTTTCGTGTTCGAAGCTTTTTTCTCGTAGTTGACAAGTCGTGGTTTGGAAATTATCTTCTCTCTTTCGTCTTCGAGTTACGCTTTTTCCCTTTGTGAAGCCCTTTGGGACTAAGTGTGTGTGTGTGTGTGTGTGTGTGTGTGTGTGTGGTGTTTTGTCGGTTGAATGATTGCAGGGAATAATTACAATCGTGACAAATTTGGGGATTCTTGATTTTGAAATCGGTGGATTTATTGAAAAATTTCTCATTTTTTTTTTTTTTTGAATTTAATTTTATATATCCCTTTTGAGAAGGGTTCTGCTGTTAGTCGGCGGCAGTCGGAATTTTGTCGGCTGAAGGGAAAGATTCGGGTCGATTATTCGGATCTCTGAGGTGGGTTTCGGATTTCTGGTGAATAAATCAGTGCTGAAATAAAATCCTTAAAAAGGAAGTCCAATTGTTGAGAATTGATTGCTGGTGGGCTTCGACTAATTGGGTTTTCTGGAGTTTTTTCTGCGTCAAAACTGAATCTTTGATTCAATCCATCTTTGAATTAGGGGGAATCGAGCTGATCCCACTGTTGCACCTGCAGAAAGTTTCAATCTTTAGGTCATCCTCCTGCCCAAATCTTTGTTGGGAGAATTGCTGTCAGATAAAATAAAGAAAATGGGTTCCAATGATTCCGAAAGCGTGGTCCAGTCGGGTAAGCTCGCGGTACACATCGCTGAGAACGGCCATTCGTATGAGCTCGAATGTGATGAGTACACTCCGGTCGAGTCCATACAGAGGTACTTGGAATCACTCTCCGGAATACCCTTGACCGATCAGCTTCTCTTGTGCCTGGACATGAAACTCGAGCCCCAACGCCAGCTGTCTGCCTACAAGCTCCCAGCCGAAGGCCGTGAAGTATTCCTATTCAATAAATCGAGAATGCGCAGTAATTCAGCCCCTCCAACTCCAGAACAAATCGAGATCATCGACATCCCGGACCCACCATTGCCGTCTCCATCTAATAACTCCCACCCATTGGATGATTCACCGGACCCTGCTTTGAAAGCCCTGCCCTCGTACGAGAGGCAGTTTAGATACCATTTCCAGTGCGGGCATGCGATCTACAGCCGGACTCAGGCGAAAGTCGAAGCTTGCGAGAGGCTGCTGCGGGAGCAGAGGGTGCAGGAGCGGGCCCTGGAGATCGCAAGGGGCAATTTGGACTTTTTCTACAAGATTGTGCTCCAGAACTACGCGGACTTCATGAAGTGTTACACCCAGCAGCACCGTGGGCACACGAGCCTACTGGTGAACTTTGGGAGGGATATGGAGAGGTTGAGGTCTGTGAAGCTTCATCCTTCTTTGCTAACCGGTAACAGGAAATGCCTTCTCGATTTCGTTAAGGAGGAGAATCTGAGGAAGGCCGTGGAAGACTGTGGAAGTTCGCATAGGCAGTTTGAGAACAAGGTTTCAGAGTTCAAGCAGGAGTTTGGAGATCTGAAGCGGAACACGGAGAATTTGTTCTCCGGCCGAGCTTTGTTTCTTGTCAAGGACTTGGATATGGCGATGAAGGAGCACCAACGGTTTATTAATGAGCAGAAGAGTATAATGCAAGCTTTAAGGTGAGACCCTAGATATTCTCTTTTCTACACATACATACGCAAATAAACACGCATGTGTGGAATGCATTGCATGTTAAATGCCAAATGTCTTCACTGCTCATATGGTCGGTTGGACTAGATTCAATTTGAAAGTAGTTTGTTCGTACTTTATTGTGAGATGTATAGCGGTTTGTCGTTTTTCTACTTATTGCGGCTTGTTAGTAAATGTATTTAAAGCATCCCCATTTGTGCCTCGACTCACATGTCCTCACGATGACAATTATTGAAACACATAATTTATGGTTTCTGTTTTATTTGTTATTGGTGTTACCTACTTGCTGATGTTGAGTTTGGTTTACTCAATTGGATTTAGGAAAAGGCGAACTTATGCCCTTTCTGCTTCCTCACATTTCTCGATTATAACTGATTGGGCAGTCCTACCAAATATTATGGTCTGTGTATTATCTTAACAAACCTAATGGCCATTTTTATATAAATTTATGCTATAATTTCACTGCCTTGATTCGAAGTGGGAAAGTAAAAGTGGATGGCAATGTGCAATGTGGAAGTGATCTTGATCTCATGTTTGGCTCGATATACTTCTTTTTTGAGTAGTCATTTGTGACTTGTGGGAAAACATGGAATTTCACCTGGATATGGGAATGTATGGAAAATGCATTTGGTGTTGCAAGGATATAGGTATTAAAACTTGTGTTTTCTTAATTCATTATTCTTTCTTTATGTTATAATAATCTGTAACACTAGAGTTTGTTATATATGAAAATTCTTAAAGTAGAACTGTTATGTACGTTTGCGCAGCAAAGATGTTAACACCGTAAAGAAACTCGTGGACGATTGTCTCTCGGGCGAGCTGTCATCTTCCTTGCGTCCTCACGATGCGGTCTCTGCATTGGGGCCTATGTACGACAGCCATGAGAAAAGTTACCTTCCAAAAATGCACGCATGTGACCGTGCAATCTCCAATCTGCTCGATTTCTGCAGAAATAAAAAGAACGAGATGAACATCTTCGTGCACAACTACATGCAAAAGATCGCATACATACAGTACACCATTAAAGACGTTCGGTACAAGTTTTCCGTGTTCCAGGAGGCTCTGAAGCGCCAAAACGACCAATTTGAGCACTTGAAAGTGGTCCGAGGCATCGGGACCGCGTACAGAGCGTGCCTTGCCGAGGTCGTGAGGAGAAAAGCCGAGATGAAAATCTACATGGGCAAAGCCGGACAGTTGGCTGAGAAACTCGCAACCGAGAGGGAAGCTGAAGTGAGGAGGCGTGAAGAGTTCTTGAAAGTGCACAGTAGTTTTATTCCTAGGGACATTTTAGCTTCCATGGGTTTGTACGACACCCCCAACCCGTGCGACGTCAATGTGACCCCCTTCGACAATAATTTGCTCGACATAGATCTTTCGGACATTGACCGCTATGCCCCTGAATCGGTGTTGGGGGCCTCCTCCTCGAGGAGTGGTTCCCGTTCGGGTGGAATTGAAGTTGAGGCGGGTTTTAATGACAAGTGTGATTCTGGTGAGGAGTCGGATTTGGTGGAGATAGCTGGGACCAGCAAGATGGAGGTGGAGAACGCGAAACTGAAAGCTGAGCTGGCATCTAAAATCGCCTTGTTGTGCTCCATGGATGCTGAGCTGGACTACGAATCTCTCGAAGAGAGTAAGTTGGAGAATGTGCTGAAAAATGCGGCCGCGAAGACATCTGAGGCCTTGCATTTGAAAGACGAGTACGAAAAGCACCTCCAGTCGATGCTGAAGGCAAAGCAGATGCAGTGCGAGTCTTACGAGAAGCGGATTCACGAGTTAGAGCAAAGGTTGTCTGATCAGTACGGGCTCAAGCTTAAAAACGACGAGGATGCATCGGATTCTGCAGTTTTGTCTGAAAAAACTGATGATAACAAGTCAGAAGTATCGGGAGTTGGAGAATTGCACGTTCCGCATGCAATGGAAGAGGTCTTTGGCGGGTCGAGCTCATTGAAATCCGGGCTTGATAATAAGGCTCAAGAAGTAGATGATAATATGGTGGATTCGTCGACTATGCTGAATACTCAGTTGGATTCATCAATGGTAGATTTACAGCGCGATAAAGGACAAACGTCTGAGAAGGATAAGAAGGAGAGGTTATTGGATGATGAAGGCATGGCACTGTCTGCAAGCAATATGGCCGTTAGCATGTCACAGCCAGCGGATGCTTTATCATTTGAAACGGCTCTTGGATCGAGTTTGGATGCTAAACTAAGTGATGGTGTTGTGATGGAATTGAGAAAATCACTAGATGAGAAATCCAGTGAATTAGGTAATGCAGAATTGAAGATCCAAGGATTAATGGATGAGGTTTCGAAGCTTGGTAGGGAGCTGGAGATGAGTCAGAAGCTTCTCGATGAATCTCAGGTATTTCTTATGGATTATGAACGTTTACTCTTTGATTCGTACCGTGGTTTGTTGGGGAATGCCATGGGGGCCTTTAGTGATTTTGGCCTCCATTTTCTTTTGACCTGATAACATAATTTTGAAATTTGTTATTGCTAGAACTGATTTTTTTTCATTTTGCTGATGATTATTGACCACACCAGTTTTTTTTAGTTGTTTTGGCTTTAAACACCTGGAAGCTTTATCGAAAGAAGAATTATTGAGAAACATATACGTAACCTACCATCCTTGCCTGCATATGAATGCACGTTTCTTTGTTTAAATTAGTATCTATCTTTCTGCATCACTACTAGCTTTCAAATTGACTAAAGCTTAACCACTTCTCTATTTTGTCTTATCTTGGCCTCTCAAGTTCTCTTTCATGTCAAAATTTGATCATTTTATCCATTGATGAACAGTATTCAGTTGTCTTCCTTATACACTACATGTTGGAAGGTAAAAAAACGTTAGTTGTATGAGATCAGTTGTAGTGAGAAGTATTTGCATGTTATTATACGTGAGTAGTTAACTTAAAGATGGAATTTTGATAATATTTTTCTAAATGCTGATCATTGAGTTAATTTTTAGATCAATGCAGTAGATATGTGTGCTTTGTTAATTGTTCGCATACATAAACTATTGTCTTAATGAATAAAAGAGTATGATTTGACGGGATGCATCTCTCGAATCGTATGCAGAACATTTTAATTCCAGATACCTGTAGGTTCTTTTGTATTTTCCTTTTCTGATGCTAAGGCTCAAATAAGAAAGAACTTTGAACTTTCGTTTCTTATACCATAATCTTATTGTTAACAAGAATACTTATGTTGTGCTGGTAGCCCATTTGGTTGATTTGGGAGAAATACGTTGTGTAGAGAATATAAATGTGTTTGATTGTTGGGGAATAATTGATGTGATTTGTGCAGCATATGTTCTAGTGGAATTCTGCATTATCGATTTCTTGTAATTCTAATATAGGGATAAAACACTAGTTTCCGGAGAAATGCCTTTTCAATAACTTTATTTTTTTGATTACTTTAATAATTGTCCAAGAATGAAGTCATGTATGAGTACAAATTTAGGCAGTGCTTTGAGAACTTCTCTATGTAACTCTTGACAGATGAATTGTGCTCATTTGGAGAACTGTCTGCACGAAGCAAGAAAGGAAGCCCAAACCAATCTTTGTGCAGCTGATCGAAGGGCTTCGGAGTATAGTGCATTGCGAATCTCTGCAGTCAAAATGCGTGGTCTTTTTGAAAGGTTGAAAAATTGTGTTTTGTCATCTGGGGTGGCAAATTTTCCAAACTCTTTACGTGGTTTAGCTCAGTCTATAGCCAGGTGGGTGTTTTTATCGATTCTTTAAAGCATTCATTGTAATCTTAGTTGCAAAATAATGACTTTTCAACTAGTTTTACATTTGTTCATTTGTATATAAAGACATCTCAGTGTTCTGAGATATTAAAAAAAAAAAAAAAAAATGATGTTACTAAAGGTAATTTGATTTCTGATTGAATTTTCAGTGCTGCCAATGAAAGTGAAGATGACGGTACAGCCGAGTTTCGTGAGTGTCTTCGTGTACTTGCTGATAAAGTTGGTGCAATATCGAGACAGCGTGCTGAGTTGCTCGACCGGCAGTCCAAAGCTGAAGCTGCAAACGAACAGCTTAGTAAGGAATTAGCAGAAAAGAGTGAGTTGGTCAACACTCTGTACATGAAGCATCAACAGGAAAAGCAGGTACAATTACAAATCTCTTTTTAGGTGGAACTTGGGGTACCAAAAGCGAAAAGTAGGTAAATTTGGGATATCGAAACAGATTTTTTCTCAATTACAAATGCGCCCCCTCATTTTTTATTTTTTTTTCTTGTTGTTCTTACATTTTAATCCTTTCAATATGTCCAATTTGCTATTTGGTCATCAATGTGAAGCAAATGTAATCTACTTTCCCCAATGGCGTTTTAGGTATAATCACTAAAAATGTATCTAGTAAGCACTAGCAATTTCGTTATAAGATTATAAGCTTCCTTTATTAAATAAGCTTGGTTTGGTAGAACTAGCTTTTTTAAAAAGCACGAGCTTATCTCACAAGCTTCATTGGTGGTTCGTTTGAATTTTTTAATAGTCGGCCTATTAGCTAATTTTACCACACTTTTCTCACGTAAGCTAGTTTCTTGGCCATAAGTCATAAGCTATCTGCTATAAGTTTGAAATTCACTTATCAGCTAGCTAGCTAGCTCTAGCTTATCAGTTAGGCTTACCAAACGTCCAAACGTAGCCTAAATATTATTCAAAGCAAGCAAACAACAAATTGCTATTTACAGGCAAACAAGGAGAAGATATCTTTTGGTCGGCTAGAAGTCCACGAAATAGCTGCTTTCATCCTGAACTCCACCGGCTATTACGAGGCCATCAACCGTAACTGCCCTTACTATTTTCTTTCGTCCGAGTCCGTAGCC